ATAATTTCCACTAATCCAATAATCATAATGGTGTTTGAAATTCTATCACAGTTTTGGGTCGATCGTGATGCTTTCATGAATCCAAGACTACCTTAAAAAGCATTTTCGTCAAAAAAATACAAATATTAAAAAACAGGGATATAGATGAGATTTTTGAAAATTTTGAGCTTTATTTATAGTAGAAACTATGAAGAGTAGTTTCGATGAATATCGCGTTATTAAGCGATATTTATTGTCATGCTAGATGTTCTTTTCTCACCCATGAAAATTCGTGTATGCTTTGAATATAAATATATTATCCATTTTCTTTTCTCGAAAAGAAAAACGTTTTCCAAGTGAATTACATTTTCGATGCAATGTTTCTCGGTTTTTTTATTTTAAATTTTCCGGAACTTCCCTCACATAGACCAACCTACCTATTCGGCTAGCGACATAGGCACTAAACTTTAATGCTTACATATAAATAGAAAGGCAAAAATAAAAGCCAAAAGTTAAAGGGAAAAATTAACAAGGTCGCAACCTTATACTATAGATGTAAGACTAACCTAAAAGATCAAGTAAAAAAAGAGTGTTTTGAAGTTGTAAAACCTTCAATTGATCACCTCTACCCCGATATGCATGTCAACAAAAAAACAAGGAATTACAAGTTATAAAATTTGATAATCTTGTAACAAATTATCTCAACCATCTATTTTGAAGATTTTGAAAAGTTTATAGATCGGCTAAAGTTACACCATTTTTTAAATTTTAAATTTTATAATCAGAATGAACATGAATTTTCAAGCCATCGTAAGACATTCGATATCAAAGTTATATTTTTTCAGGCAGAATTTAAAGATGCTCCTTACTTATACAATATAAAGTGGGTACCTTATATGTGACCAATTTAGCCTTCTCATTTTCTCATGTTTTGTAGTATTTGTTTGTGGATGTCAATGAAGAAGGCCTTTGAACATAGGAATTCACCATGGTGACTACTCTAGAACAGATGAAAGTCGTATGGTGGTATTATTGTAGATAATTAACATTCACAATCTTTTATCATAATGGATATTATTATGGCCTCACCTAATAAAACCATGCACCGACACACCAGTTGTTAGTTGTGTACGGCGCATTTGGCTAGGCATCAAATGATCCAATGGCTAAAAAAGCAGGTTAGAAATCTCGACTCCTTTAAATGGACAATCTCAACTCAATTAGGCGTGCACACCAAGTGGTTTTGTTGCTTTAGAATAACATTGATTAAAGGAAAAAGTTTTTATAAGGTCTGAACGTGTTAATGTAAGCGTAAGGTGCACTTAAAAAACTCACTATCGAAGGTTGTTTCGATGCTGGAAAACCTTCAAAATCAATCTTCTTAACCTCAAGATTTATTGATATGAAAAAACTGAAAGTTTTAGTCTTAAAAATAATTCATCTTCTAACACATTATCTGAGTCATCCATTTTTAAGATTTTCAAGTGTTTATAGATCTGCTTGATCGTCGTTATTTCTAAAACTTTAAATTTCATAACTGAGGGCAACAATAGATTTTCATATCATCTTAAGCCCTTGTGACACCGAAATTGCATTTTCGGCATGGTTTTGAGGCGAGATTGACACCTTATGCAAACCTCACCCTTGTTTAAAATTCTAGCTTTTAGAAAAACTTATTTGTCTTATTGCTGACAAGGAAGACATAATCTAAACCCAAATTAAAAATAAATGTTCCTAACTTCATAAAAATAAATAAACGAGAAAAAGACAGTCAAGAAAAGCGAGTCTAGTGGAGCATCACGCACGCATGCTTGCGAGGTGCTCTTTGCCCTTTGCCCTCCTCAAATAGATGTTTGTGCACGGGCTAAGTGCAATACATGATTTGCTTTTTGGACCTGTCAAACATATGTTCGGCATACTCGTGTCATATGTCGTATACTAATGATTTAAGAACCTGAAAATAAGAATTCTGAAAGTTGGGTCGAATCTAGGCATGTGTACTTAACCCACTACAAACAAAATCAACTAGACTCCAAACCATGATATGAGAAGTAAAGCATAAAACATGCAAATTATAAAAATATAAAGATTTATATGGCTCATACGAAAGCACCATCCTAAAGTTTCTCTTCATACTCACTTTTGTTTATATGGAGGTCATATCTCTTATGCAAAGGGTGTCCATGCTTCTTTCTCTTGAGGAAGCCACATTTCCCATATGATAACCCAAATAGGATAAATATTATTTCTTTTTTCATTTCATATATATAAGGCTATGAATTTCATACCAGATGTGAATGATATCATCAAAAAAGACAATAATGGTGGATCATGGCTCTAATAGGTTCGTGATGTCCAAGAGAAGCATAGCAATAGGTCCTTACGACATCACATTCCTATTAGGGCTGGGAAGGGAATTTTGAATAAATAAAAAAGTTGTTGCGTATGGATGTAATTTCTAAAAAATTATAGCAGTTTTGAAAAATATAGAGGCATTTTCGATCATTATCGTTATTTAATTAACTTTTGCCTTCTTTCTCACCACTATATTTAAAACCTAGATTTTTGGGAGAGATCGTTCACCCATAGATCTATATCAGATTGTCGGAGCAATGATATTGGGTCTAGATATGCCCGAGTTTGTGTTCTAGAAAAGTATTAATAAAGTAAAATTAAAATTAAAGTAGAGGTTAATGGGATGGGGATTTATAGAGAACCTAATAAAATATCAAATAAGCTTAGAAAGAGAAAAAATATATACAAGGCGATTTTTGGGGGAACCATGCATTAACCATTTCGAACCGGTTCAGTCTCAACTAATTTCCATCCATATGGTTAAAAATCGCTTTAAAGCATTGAGTCACACGATAAAAAAAAAAAAAGCATCTTAACTACAAACCCTTCATCCAGGGAATAGAGGGCTAAGATAGCACTTATAGTATATTATGTAATGTCTTTGATTAAAAAGTAGCCGAAAAGCGAGTCAGGCTTTGGCATCACGCTCATGGCCCCGCTCGTATCCTCCTCAAAGTTGGCGAGCTTGGGATAATAATAAAAGAGAGGGCCGGGCACCCTTTTATAACCATTATTGACCCAAAGTTCTTAGTGGCAAGTGCTTCAGTCATTATGATAGAGAGAGCCTTTTCTCGCTTTTGGTTTTCTTTTCTTCGGTTTTAAACTTTGTTTATGAGGCTTTTGGGTGAAGGAGAGTGTACAACATATCCTTAATGATATTGACATGGACAAAACTGTGCATAATTTAAGAGAATTATCTTTTTTTTTTTTATAAGATTTTCATTTTTTTGTTTAAGGTACTTTTAGAAATGGGGTATTTCTTTAATGTATTGGACATTCATTATTTTTATTTTGTAATACAATTTTTTTTAAGTAAAGGTATTTCTTGTATTATGAGAGGTATAATTGATATTTTTTTATAAAAACTAATTACATTTGATCAATAGTTAAAAAATAAGTAATACTCTATAAAAGTAAAATCACACTAAATTATCTACTATAATTAATAAATATGTTTTTTTGTTATAAAAAAAATATTTTTTAATTAAGTACCTAAATACCCCTACACAAAAAGTTACAATATTATAATGGGGGGTAAGTACTAAGAGTCCAAATATATTACATGTATTAAGCAAAATACTCCTAAGAAAACCCTAACCAAACCCTGTGTTTTTATTTTCCTTTTTCTGGTAAGCGCAGCATGGTAATTTGAAAGAACAATTTCCAATAATTTGTGGCAGAGGTGCCTGTGGCTATTTAATGAGAGGATAGCGATGGAATAGTAGCAAGTCTACTTACCATTTATTAGCCGGCGTGCCCATAAGTTTCTAGGTTATAAGGGCATTTTAGTCATTACGACTTTCTCTCATGGATGGTTTAAAAATTTCCAATTATGCCCTTTATTATTTAGAGGGGAAGATGATGTGTGACAACTCAGAAGGTAGTGAGCCGCCTACTTGGAAAATACGGGAAAAGTTGTTTCCTCTTCTTCCTCATCATCATCTCTCTCTCTCTCTCTCCATCTCTTCTCTCTCATCATCTCTCTCTCTTCTTCCAAATCATCTCTTCTCTCTCCATACGGTGACTCCCTGTCAACCCTTTGTCAAATTCCACCACCTGGTCCCCACCCTTACAACACACTCTTGCACACTAGTTGGGCCAATTCAGGCTCAAGATGGTGCCTAGAGAGGCTGGGGTCTGGCTGGATTCGGATCTAGACGCGAATGGAATTCGAATTTAAGTTTTGGACCTAGATTCGATCCGTTCGGTCAAAAAATTTGATTCATATTCATTGCGGTCGGTTTCTGATAAGGTCCATTGCCACCTTCGCTGCGAGTTTTTTTCTTTTTTTTTTACCATCATACCCTCTCTAGAAATGGATGGTAAGTAACCCCACAGCAACAACTGTTGTACTTTCTCGCTCTAAAACAAGATGATTTTTATGTCCCGAACTCGTATTCTCCAAATGGAGAGAAAGACAGTTCTATTTACCCAAATGAAGAGAATAGTGCAACCGGTCAAAAATGAGAATAGATTCACTCCTTTTACCCGGTTGGTATTTTAGGGAATTTTTCTCCCGCCAACCAACCCAAGCTAAACTAAGGCCAAAAGACATTAAAATAGAAAGCGGTTTCAAAAAATTATATTATTTTATTTGTTTATCCGATAATATTATTGTAGTTTACGAAGTAGCTACCCAATCCTTATTTTGATAATACCGTTTCTTGCCACCCCATTTCTTTCTCTATTTGTATATTTTCCGAGAGAGGAATGTGAAAAAGGGGTGTAAAGGAGCCTAATAATTTGAGACAATAAGAGAGAGAGAGAGTAGGAGAGAGATGACTTTTTTGGAGTAATGTTTTTTCTCATAAAAAAACAAGCACTTTATGAGGAATCGAAAACCAACGTGAAAAAGTATTAAAAACTAAACTGAAAAATATGCGCGTCAAAAAATGCAAATTGTCTAGGAATAAAAAGTCCATTCTGCGAATAAATCCGGCATCGTGCCGTTTTTCACATGAACCACACATACATTTCTCGTTTCCTCCCTCCTCTCTCTCTCTCTCTCTCCTCGCATGGTAAACTCGTTTTTTCAGAGGCCCCTTCTCTCTCTTTCACTTATTAAAGCGAGGCAGAAGAAGTGAAGAAGCTGCACAGTCCTGCAATGTCAAACGTAAATTTCAAAAAGATCAACAGAGAGAGAAAATGGAACAATTCCCAGTACAAACACCGCATTGAAACGCTCCATAATATCTCTAATCTTCGCTGTCGGATGGCCTCGAGATCTCAAAACCCCCCACAGCGCAAAATGGACTAGACTGACGGGACGGCGTTCTTGGACCACTCCAAGCATCACAGAGGAGAGAGAAAGGAGGATTCAGAGAGAGAGAGAGAGAGAGGGGAAGGAAGATTTAGAGAGAAAATGAGGAAAATATACAGAGGAGAGAGAAGAGAGTGAGTTTCTAGAAAGAGAGAGGAGTCACACAGGCCTGTTTTCCTGGGTGGCGTCCCCTTCTACGCGACCGCAACAATGGTAGCGGGCAGGCCTTTGTTCAGCATCGTCCTCCTCTTTGTCTCTCTAGGCGCGCGCCTCGCCTTAGGCCTCAACCAAGAAGGCCTTTTCTTGCTGAGCATAAAGCGCGGCCTGTCTGACCCTGACAACGCTCTCGCCACCTGGGACGAGCGCGCGGAGACGCCGTGCGCGTGGCGCGGCGTCACCTGCGAGTCCACCGCCCCGCACTCCGTCACCGCCCTCGACCTCTCCAACTCCAACCTCGCAGGCCCCTTCCCCTCCCTGGCCTGCCGCCTACCCCGCCTCCTCAATCTTTCTCTCTCTAACAACTTTATCGGTGGCTCTCTCTCTCCTCTCTCTTTCTCCTCTTGCAAAACTCTGCAATTCCTTGACCTGTCTCAGAACCTTATTGTTGGTGCTTTGCCGGAAACCGTGGCTGACTTGCCGGATCTCCGGCACCTCGATCTCTCTACGAACAACTTTTCCGGTGCGATTCCTGTCTCCTATGCAAATTTCCAGCGACTTGAAGTCCTCTCACTCTTCAACAACCTCTTGAATGCCACTATTCCGTCATTTTTGAGCAAAATTTCGACGCTTGTCGAGCTCAGGCTTGCCTATAATCCTTTTCAGCCTGGGCCGGTGCCATCTGAGCTTGGTAAACTGACCGGGCTTGAGGTCCTATGGCTCTCTGGGTGCAACCTGGTGGGCACGATCCCGCCGAGCCTGGGTTTGCTGAAGAACCTCACCAACCTGGACCTGACCTATAACAATCTCAGTGGGTTGATCCCTATGAGCCTGACTAGGCTAGAGAACGTTGTCCAAATCGAGCTTTACTCTAACAAGCTTTCTGGTCCATTGCCTGATGGAATGGGCGCAATGAAATCACTGGAAAGGTTCGATGCGTCCAGAAATATGCTCAATGGCTCCATACCCCATGAGCTTTGTGGCTTGAACCTGGCCTCCCTTAGCCTTTACTCTAACCAGTTTGTCGGTGGCTTGCCTGAAGAGATTACACGTTCGACTAAGTTGTATGAGCTCAAACTGTTTGAGAACCGGCTCAGCGGCCCTATTCCTGCTGGTCTTGGCCGGAATTCTCCTCTGGTTTTGCTGGATTTGGTGGGGAATCAATTTTCTGGCGAACTTCCTGGGGATATTTGTAAAGGGGGAGTCCTTGAAGAGCTGCTTTTAATGGATAATGAGTTGACCGGAAATTTGCCTGAAAGTTATGGGAGTTGCCAGAGTTTGATCAGGGTAAGGTTGAGAAATAACAAGCTCTCGGGTGTGGTTCCTGCTGCTTTTTGGGGGTTACCCCATGTTTATACTCTGGAGCTCGCACAAAACTCATTTTCTGGTGAGATTTTGCCAGAAATTGCAAGGGCAAAAAACCTATCTCAACTGACAATATCAGAGAATCGATTTTCCGGGGAGATTCCTAAAGAAATTGGGGAAGTTTATAACTTGGACCAGTTTTCTGGTGGGAATAACCAATTTACTGGTCCTTTACCTGAGAGTTTGGTCGTGCTTTCCCAGTTGGTTAAGTTGGAGTTGCAAAATAATAAGTTATCAGGGGAGCTCCCTTCTAATATTCAGAAGTGTAGGCAGCTCAATGAACTAAATCTTGCTGGAAATAGGTTCTCGGGTCAGATTCCTGCCGAGATCGGGAGCTTGCCTGTCTTGAATTATCTTGACCTCTCCTCGAATTTATTAACTGGGACCATCCCTTCTCAGCTCCAAAACCTGAAGCTTAACGCCTTTAATCTCTCTGGTAATAGATTAACCGGAGGGATCCCCCCCTCTTTCAATAATGAGATGTATAATTCCAGCTTTTTGAACAACCCTGGTTTGTGCAGCGATAATGTTGATTTCCTGAGGCCCTGTAACAGAGCCTCTAGTTCGAGTGGTCTCGTTTGGGTTTTAAGGTCTATTTTCATTCTAGCTGGTCTTGTTTTGGCAGTTGGGTTGGCCTGGTTTTACTGGAAATACATGCAATTCAAGACATCCGAGAGAAAGAAGGATCTGGACAAGTCGAAATGGATTCTCACTTCATTCCACAAATTGAGTTTCCGGGAAGATGAGGTCCTAGACTGCCTCGACGAAGATAATCTTATTGGGAGTGGGGGATCTGGAAAGGTTTACAAAGCTATTTTGAGTAATGGAGAAACAGTTGCAGTGAAGAGGCTATGGGGCTCCTTGAAAGCTGAGGCCTCTGGTGACTATGGATTTGAAGCCGAGGTCAAAACTCTTGGTAAGATTCGCCACAAAAACATTGTAAGGCTCTGGTGCTGTTGCACCAACAAGGATTGCAAGCTCCTGGTGTATGAATACATGGCAAATGGTAGTCTGGGTGATGTCCTTCATAGTCCAAAAGCTGGGCTTCTTGATTGGCCTATAAGATACAAGATAGCTGTGGAGGCAGCAGAGGGGCTATCCTATCTTCACCACGACTGTGTGCCTCCTATTGTTCATAGGGATGTGAAGTCGAACAACATTTTGCTCGATGCTGAATTTGGGGCGAGAGTTGCAGACTTTGGGCTTGCGAAGATCCTTGAGGCTGCCTTTGGGAAGGGGGGGAATTCCATGTCTGCTGTTGCAGGGTCATATGGCTACATCGCACCGGGTATACTTATTTCATGGATTAAGGATTCTTTTTGTTCTTTGCGTTATTTTTTTTTGCTCAATTAATTGCTTGCTGTTATGTTATGGTTTGAGATTTAGTTTTGGTTATAATTTGGGTCATGGGAAAACTCATTTATTGACTTTCAGAAAACCAAAGCCTAGTTTTTGGTTGTCTATTGCTCAAGTGGATCAGGATGAGCAATAGAAACTCGAACTTTGGGAATTATTATCAAGATTGTGCAAAGGTTTGGATTTTGGGAAACTCAATTTTTTGGTATTGACAAGTTTGACAAATGTTTTGATTCCATCATTTTTTATCCTTCAAATTTCAAATATTTTAGGGTTAATTTTCCTCTCTTTTGTGAAGTTTCAGTAGATGTCACAGAAAAACCATGGTCAACTTTCCTAAACTAAATCCATCTGACATCAGCTCAAATTCCCATTCTTTTACCTAATTTTCTTGAACTTGTTTCTAATGTATTTGACACGTTAAATTTTGCATGAATTTCAGGACAAATATGTAAAACTTTTTTGTTGAGTTTCAGTTGTTCTTGGTTCAAAACCTGCAGTGATTTCTTCTAGAACTGCTGAAACATCCCCCAATTGCTATCCAATCTGTGTTTAAATTCTTCATTGACAAAAATCATTTTTCTTTTGCAGAGTATGCATATACGCTCAGAGTGAATGAGAAGAGCGATATATACAGCTTCGGTGTGGTTCTCCTTGAGTTGGTCACAGGGAAAAGGCCAGTCGATCCAGAGTTTGGCGAGAGCAAAGACCTGGTTCAATGGGTTAGTTCAATTGTGGAGAGGAAAGGACCTGAACATGTACTGGACCCGAGGCTCGCTGGTTGCTTCATGGAGGAGATGTCTGCAGTTCTTAACGTGGGCCGCCTATGCACTAGCCCTCTTCCCATCAGCCGGCCCTCAATGAGGAGAGTGGTGAAGCTTCTTCTTGAGTGTAATTTTGAGGCCAAAGTGAAGCCCCCCTCTAGTAAGGATGGGAAGCTCTCGCCTTATTACTATGAAGATGCTTCTGATCATGGAAGTGTGGTCTGAATTCTTTTCCTTCATAAGAAGGAAAGAAGTGAAGTAACTCTAACTGTAGATATTGTAACCTGGGTAGTCTCAAAAATCTGGTTTAGGGATCAGGAGAGGGGGTATGGCTTGGCACTTCTAGGAGAAGTATGAATCGGAGCTATTCCTTAGCAGTTTCTGTTGTCTAGATATGGTTATGGATATGGCTATGGCATCAGTTCCGGTGAGTGGACCATGCTTTTGCAAGTATCATTGATTGCGTATTCTGGAATTTGATCTTAGAGGTTGGGCTGTGCGCACGCGTGTGGGAAAGGGAGTTTATAACTTTGTACCAGAGCAATTTTCTCGTAGCCAAAATATTCTGTCTGGTTATGGGCTATGGATATGGATGTGACTATGACATCGGTTCTGTTTTCTTGTTTTATTTGATTTGTGTTTTTAGAGTATCTGGTATATGGCCTCAGTTTTCTTATGTATCTAGGTTCTGTGGTGGAATGCATGAGTTTTTCGGGTCAGTTTGTGTGAAATTATGGACGAGGCTGGCCTTTGGTCGGTCTTTACTTATTATGTATACTCATGGTCTTGAGAAATATATTGCACTTTGAACAAACTTCTCGTGGTTTTAAGTTTGGTGACGTCTAATACTTCTTTGCGACAGATTTGTAGGCTTATGATGGTGGAACCAGGTCCTGGGATATGTATCTATCATTTGAAAATGGGGTGTTTGAATCTGTGTTGATGTAAATATCACATCCTTTGATTGGCGATTCATGTTTAAAGCAATGATTCATTGCACCAGGGACAACTTTCAAGATCAAATCCTTTCGAGTTTGACTGAGATTTAAATACTTCGAATAAGCTGTTTGGTTTAGAAAGCAAGAAAACTGCCCACAACTGTTTTACACCTATAGATTCAAATATGGTCAAATTTCAGTAGGGAATTTGACTGGAAATGGTAGGTTGTTTTAATTGTTTTATCACGGATTATTTGGAAAAATTACTTCTATGAGGCATCTTTGTCGTCAGTTTTTGCAGAGGCTCCTCTACAGAGCAAATATGCTTGCACACTTCTATACCAGCAAGCCATGCCCTAAAGTGATGGTTTTGCTCACCATCCACACGGTAGATCCTCTTCTTTTTGCTCCTCGATTGTATAATTTGCATTTGCAAGTGGCTTCTTTGTAATGGTCTTCGATTCATAGGCTGAGCTGCAATATAACAGAGTGCGGACTGGGTTCTGGTTTCTTTCTCTGCGTCATTATAGGAGACTGTGAGGGGGAAATGTCACCATAACTGACCTGAGAAATTCATCCAATCTGTTTATTAAATGAAATTGGTGCATATCCATATGCTGAGGAATGGACCCTTTGGTGTTGGAGGTCATGTATAGAGATGCACTCAATCGGTTAGCTCAATAGTTGACAAAGGATTTGCATGGGGAAAATGTTTCTGGGAATATGATTTGTAAATAATGAGTGCCATGACGTTTCCTACAGTACTTCACCGTCATCCCAACTGATCCTTTCCCTCTCAAATTCTGAGTGTGATTTGTACAAGGCGCATCTTGAAATAGTGTTGAATTATGCTATTTCAGTATTGGAAATCTGATGCCTCACAATTTA